TCACAGGCTTTTAAGACCCCAGATGCTACTCACCAAGGTAGAATGTAGAACATTGTCTTTATAAACTGTGTTATGCCAATTGAGCTAGATGTTCCTTGAGACCATCAACATCAGTAATTTTATATGGCAAAGGGATACAGAAGAACAGCAACATGCTCTTTGATTTACATTAATAGTAAATGTAATGATCATTTAAGCACATTTAAGATGATTCTTTGCCAGTGTCTATATCATGAATTCTAAATAGAAAGAATGACTTTCTATATCATGAATTCTAAACAATGAAAATATTCATCTGATTGAAAAATATATTACAGAATAAATTCTGCAAATAAGTTTCAGGAAAATTATTAGTTTCTGTATATAGACAACTTATAGAAAAGTCTTTGGTGGTTTATGTAATGGAATCACTCTAGAAACAAACTACATTTTTTAAAATGTTACTGCTAAACCTTTCATCCAAAAAAATCAAGACAATATTTTCCTGGAGCGGATGCTTTCCATTGCTTTCAAATACACTTAATTTTGCCTCATCATTCCTTTCACTTCAATTAGTTTACATGTTTCTTTCTAACAGAGACTTTTTACATTGCTTTACAGCCGAGAGAAGAGTCTTTTCGAGACCTTCATGACAGTGAGCAGCAAACATTTCAAATCATTAAGGTTATTTTGCTAGTTTCCAGGGCTAAAATAACTGGTTAAAAATCAGACATCTTTTTGAAAAAATCTATCTCTGCATTTCTTCAGTATTCTATCTTCCTTATTTAAAATCTATGATTTTGTTTTTCCTGGATATAGACACCTTCAGCTGCAACTGATTTTAAATCACTTCAACTTATGAATCAACTCCCTCAGATTTTAGGTGCTTCTTTTCAGTTTCTGCTACTTAAAAAATCACAATCACATAAACTAGTATTTGAAACTAAAATAAATATTCAGTAATGTGAGAAATTTAATACTGTTTCACCTTCCCACATCTTGCCTATGTTCATATTCAGCCAAACAATCAGCCAAATG